TTGGTACTCCTGGGATGAAAAGGACTTAAAGTGTTTTGTTATCTAACGGTTGTATAACATACTTCCAGTGTTTGATTGGATGTTTTAATAGATCTTATAGATTTGTCTAACCCACTTCCAGTGTTTGATTGGATGTTTTAATAGATCTTATAGATTTGTCTAACACACTTCCAGTGTTTGATTGGATATTTTAATAGATCTTATAGATTTGTCTAACACACTTCCAATGTTTGATTGGATATTTTAATAGATCTTATAGATTTGTCTAACACACTTCCAGTGTTTGATTGGATGTTTTAATAGATCTTATGGATTTGTCTAACACACTTCCAGTGTTTGATTGGATATTTTAATAGATCTTATGGATTTGTCTAACACACTTCCAGTGTTTGATTGGATATTTTAATAGATCTTATAGATTTGTCTAACACACTTCCAATGTTTGATTGGATATTTTAATAGATCTTATAGATTTGTCTAACACACTTCCAATGTTTGATTGGATATTTTAATAGATCTTATAGATTTGTCTAACACACTTCCAGTGTTTGATTGGATATTTTAATAGATCTTATAGATTTGTCTAACATACTTCCAGTGTTTGATTGGATATTTTCTTAGATCTTCGAGATTTGTCTAACACACTTCCAGTGTTTGATTGGATGTTTCAATACATCTTATAGATTGTTTGGAACTTTTGCACCTGTAACCTTGAGCACATAATTTAATCAATATAAAATATAATTCTGTGTATTTATAAATTTTTGATAATATTCTCAACTGAACTACCAAAGGTTTCAAAAAGAGAGCATTAAATTCTTTTGCAAATGGTTTTTCTTGTTTGTTTGTTTGTTTTGAATTCCGCGCAAAGCTACACGAGGGCTATCTGCACTAGCCGTCTCTAATTTAGCAGTGTAAGACTAGAGGGAAGGCAGCCAGTCATCACCACCCACCGCCAACTGTTGGGCTACTCTTTTACCAAAGAATAGTGGGATTGACTGTCACATTATAACGCCCCCACGACTGAAAGAGCGAGCGTGTTTGAGGGGACGGGGATTCGGAACCCGCGACCCTCAGATTGCGAGTCGAGTGCCCTAACCACCTGGCTATACCGGGCGAGGTTTTCTTACTTGTTGTTTGTTTTTAATTCAACGCAAAGCTACACTAGGGCTATCTGTGCTAGCCGTCCCCTAATTTAGCAG